GTATTGCCCCAAGTGGTACAAGAAGTCCTGCGGCGTCGCGATGGGCTTCGGTGGTTGGCCTCAGCAGCCTGGGGGTCTCCACGTCCTGGGCATCTTCGGCGTCGTCGTCCTTCCTCCTTTTGCCCGTCGCTCCCTCGTGGGCCTTCGAGGGCAGGCGTCAAACAGCCACGAGGGGGGATAGAGAGGGATGAGGGATGTGGGGAGAGGTTTGGACGTGGTAACGGGAGGAGGCGGTAGGAGGGAACCGATGACTAGACTGGACGGGGGCAGGTGAGGAGGAAGGACGAGTGACAAGGGTGGAGGAGGAGGACAAAGGGAGGGAAGGAGGCGGGGAGTGGAAGAATGAGGTCGTCACGTACAAACAGCGTGTAAAGCAAACATTTCTGCGTACACACAACGGCTTCTGAGCATAATGCATTCCTTGGGCCATCTTGGAGGACATCGATCAACAAAAAGTAGCGACTGGGAGTCGCGCTACCCCTACGCATCACGACACATCGCCTCTTTGAGCCCTCTTGGGGCGCTCTGTAAGCCGTCTTGAAGCCTCTGTGGGACCCTCCTGGTGGGAGAGCTTGGAGCCATCTTGAGAGTCCCAAAGCCAATCAGAAGCGGCAGGGCGAGAAGGCGAAAGTCATTGACAAACATGCGTTTTGAGTGATTCTGGCTTCCTAGGGGCGTCTTTGGGAGGCTCCATTGCCATTTGGAGCCTTGTTCTGGCCGTGTTAGGGCATCTTGAGGAGAGCTAGTGCAGAATATCTTGCGCCATCTTCTTGGAGGTCATCTTTGGACAGTTGGGATCCATCTTGGAGCCTTCTTGGCTTGAGCGGCTCCCAAGGACGCCCCTCAAAGGCCAAACTCCTTCATACATCTAAGGTTGTCCAACGGTTCTCCCTGAGAAGTATGTAAGATGAGTTAGCGGTGTCGCTCCTGGAGGACAACAAGTCTCCTGGTGGGGTCCTCTTGGAATGGTCTTGGAGCCCTCTTGGGGACATTCGGCGCCGTTTGGAGGCCCCTCTCTCGGGCGATGCTTGAGCCATCCCTGAATCCCTAGAGGCCCATCGGAAGCCAAAAGACGAGAGGGCAGCCATCATTGAAACACCTGAGGTTTTGGAATGGTTCTGGCATCTAGGGTTAATTTTTTACCAGAAAAGCCCCAATCAGTGGATGGTTTTCGCTGAGATCGACCAGGAACCTGGCAGCCTGGGAACCCAGAACCCACCGAAATCGGCCCGGAACCAATGACTGGGAACCCGTGAACCCGGAACTGGGAACCCGGGAACCCAGCCTGCTACCAACACCGGCTGGGAACTTTCGCCAAATTTTTCAGCTTTCGCCAGGACCCCTTTCAGTGCAAGCACTGATTGGGGAAAGACGAGAGGGCAGCCAGCACTGAGACACCTGAGGTTTTTGCACTTTTCTGGCATCTCGGGGTATTTTTCATCCCTGGGAGGCGCGGTGGTCACCTGCATGCCGTCCTGGAGCGGCCGAGCGGTCTTTCGGGGTCCCCTCGAGGCATCATGCTGGGGCGAATCTTGAGCGCAATCTTCGGTGATGCTGCCCCGTACTCGCGGCCATCTTGGGTTGTCCGAGGCCAGCTTGGAACCTGGAGGCATGCTGGGGCTGATCTTGGGAGCAATCTTCGGTGGTGCTGCCCCGTCTTCGCGGCCATCTCGGGCTATCGGAGGCTAGCTTGGAGCCACTAAATGCCATCTTAGACGCTCTAACGCCTCGCGGCCCCCCGCGGACCTGCCAATGGGGAGGGCTTGGGTGGAGGGGTAACCCCTCCCGGACGTGGAAGAACATGGTTTGACGAGGAGTCGCTCCAAACCACCTACGCCCAGAGGTGGTGCTCCTTCTCCCCCTGTTCTGCTCCTCCTCGTCCACGTCTTGCACAATCTCGTCCTCCTCAAAGGGGGGACGTGCTCTTGTTTTGTGTAGAGTCGGCGTTCCTCGCATTCTGGCGGCCCAGAATGCGGTGCCAGCGTGTGGCTCGCACGGGACGCGACGTGCTGCCATATGCGCCCACGCCCACGACCTCACGAGGGGTCTTTGACGAAATCATTGTGTAGGGTAGCCTCGCTTTGGGGGGACTCGTGTCGGTGTCGGTCAAGCGGTGTGAGCGCCGCCCGTGGCGTCAGCTGGCCGTCCCCCGCGGACGTCTCGCGGGGGAGGCTTTCCGATACCGCAAGCGGCTGCCCGGCAAGTCGCAGCGGCGATCGCCCCTGGTGGGATGCCGTGGTAGCAGCGGGGAAGAGGGGGGACGGGGAGGGTGGAGCTGGAAGGAGAAAGCCAGCGGCGCGCAGAAGGGGCTGCCCGAGGGGGGTGGCCTTCTGAGAAGGCAGGGGGCTTCTTGGACGAAAGGGGCCGGGCGGCTTCTGCGGAGCCCTCTCGGAGAGGGGGTGGGAGCTTCGAGACCGCCCCCCCTGCCTCCTAAGAAGGCCCCCCTCCGTCGTCCCGCTCCCTGGTGCGCGCCGCCAGCAGAGCGGAGAGGAGCAGCTGCGAGGTGGCCGCGTCCTCTCTTTCGGCCTGAACAAGTCTGCCGCGGCAATCACAGGCGGGCCCCCCCGCGCGCTGGCCGCAGCGAGCAGCGCGCCCCCGGGCCACGCGTCTCCTCACTCTCGTCCGCGCCCTCGTCGCCCCTCGCCCACCTCCTGCAGATCGCTCCCCCCCTTCCGCCTCCCTCCCTTTTGTCTCCTCCCCTCTTGTACAACAGTATGAATAGCACTCTCCCTCCTCCCATGAAGTGGCCCAGCAGATCTCCCGCCCCCTCCGCGTGCTGTTTTTTGCACCGGATTTCAAGCACGGACTTGCGTTACGTATTTACTACACGCCGACGGAATCTGGTGTTTCAAAGCGATGTTCTCGCCCCAGCGTGGGCCTCATGGTCGGATCGGCGCTTGGCTCCCGTCGTCCAGACTGGGGCTCTCGCCCCAGCGCGGCCAATCTTCTGCATCCGAGTCCTGCTTCACTCAGGAGGGGAAAACCACACAGACACAATCAGTCGTTGATTCCCCCAGAAAAGATGGGACAATATGGGGAGTGGGGGGGAAGACGAAAACACAGAAAATATGGGGAAATATGGGGAATCCTGTTATTTGTGTGCATTTATTTGTGCGTCCCTGGGCCCCTTCATTCACTGTGGTCCTCCCCTCGTTTCACTCCTCCGCCTTCCCCTGGTCCTCCTGTTCCTCCCGTTTCTTACACTCCAGTTCATGTTGCTGCTGTTCGTCTCGCCCCTGCGCGGGCCACTTTTTCTGAATCTGAGTCTTTCTTCAGCATCGCCGCCCCCCTCCAATTCCCTCCTCCGCCTTCCCCTGGTCATCCTTTTCCTCCCGATCCGTCCGCTTTAGTTCCTGTTGCTGTTGTTCGTCCTCATCCTTTTCCTCCCGCTCATCCTCCTGCTCACCCACCACCACCTCCTCCTCCTGTGCACGCAGCTCCCCTTTTTCCGATTGCGCATGACACTAAGTTGTCTTTCTGTGGGAGTCGCAGGTCGGCTATGACACGCGTACGTGGATAGAGGGACAGAGACGAGTCAGCGCCATGGGAAGGCCTGGAAAGGAGGGACCGGATGTCAGATGAGGTGCGAGCGCACCTAGCTGGCCCCCGCCCTCTCTCTCTCTCATTCCCGTCACCTTCCTTCCTCAGTCCTATTGTCTCCTCCCTCGTCCCTCATCCCTTTCACTCCTCCCTCCTCCCTCTCTGTCTCCTCCCATCTCCGTCCTCGGTCTTATGGTCGCTCCCCCCCTCTCACTCCGTTCTCAGTCCTCCATCCCTCCTCCGTCTTCTCCCTCTCCCCGTCCTCCGTCCTTCTCCGTCCTCCTGCCGCGAGCCACTGTCCGCCCTGCGCCCCGCCGCCGGGGGCGCGGGCGCAGCGGGAGATGTGGCGGTCGGCTTGGGAGTGGCACCGCTGCCGCGAGCCAGGGAGCTGCTCGAGCTCTGGCGGCGCACGCCAGAAGTGCCCAGCAGACGAGCGATGCGGGTGAGTGTGACTGGCCAGAGGCCAGCGCGGAGGTGACCCGGATGTGCCGTCAGCGCCCGTGCTCCCCGAAGTAGGAGAACCACTGGCCCAGAACGCACGACTCGGTATGCCAGCTGCTGCATTCGACGAGGTGCTTTTGGTCTACCAAGTGACACTCACACAGTTTGATACTGCTGTGGGGAGGCGGCGGTGGGTGGAGCGCAGGTGCACCGTTCAACGCGATGTACACATCGACGGAACCCGTCCAATAGACAACTATGTGTTAGTTGTTGCAGCATACGCCCACGTTTCAGGTGTTTGGGGAGCCTGGTTGTGTACTGGCCCACCCGCCTGAGCTTCATTAGCAACTTCATTTCACACGTTTGCTCGGTACTTACCGTTACCAGTCAGAACGCTGGACTGGGTTTGTCTCCGATGTGCAGAAGTACGGCACGTACCCAATGCAGCTTCAAGTGCCACAGTGGCTACAGCTTTCTGGAACAAACTTGGTTCTAACAACGTAGCCTAGACAGGAGCGTCTCGCCATCGTAACTATGGTTGGAGCGCTTGTTTGATTGGCACTGGTGGACATATTCGTTTCTGTCAGTGCTAACTCCACTCTGCATAGTGCTCTGTGAAATGACACGGTGCAAAGTATAACCCCTTGTGCCCCCCAACACGCTTGGCATCCGAGCGTCACCTGATGAAGTGCGTCGTGCGGCGAGGAGTGTCCCAGGCACCGCAGCGCGTTCACTTGACCAGTGCCGTCGGACACAGTGAGTAACCCGTCGACGACGGTGGACTGGATTTTTAGGTATTAGGCAATGCTGCGAGGCTATCGGCGTAGCTCCGAGGCAGCTTTTATGGGTCCTGTTGCCCCTGCTGCCCCAGCCTTCTCTGGGCCGTCGCCCGACTGTGCGGCGCGCAGGCATGCCCGGAATTGGAAGGCGACATTGGAGACCGATGCCGGGATCTTTGGGATTTGACGGAAGATTTGGAGCGCGGTTGTTGGGGGGCCAGTCGGGGGAGGAGCTCGGTGGATCGCGTTTGTGCGTAAGTGTGCAGTTCGGCGGGAAGCTGGTGTCGTTTCACAGAGGCGCGACATCCTCGTCGTAAAAACTGTGATCATGAAAACATCCACGTGCATATTTCGGGGAATGCGTTTGAGTGTTCGCGCCCACCCTGGCCTTCGTGAAGTTTGTCTTTCACGTTTTGCTAGCCCACAGAGTTCCCAGAATGCGCCAGCATCACTCCATCGGAGTTTCTCGCGCGGAATATTGGTTCACAAAAGGTCGATGTTTCTAATAATTTATCTCGTGTGCAAGTGCATAGCGTCGGGCAGCTTCGTCTCGTCTCGCCTGCTTAACGTCGTATGTAGACAATCCAGGCATTCGGACTTCGCGCGGCTACCCGCAACGCGCGGTCGAGTTTCCGAAAAAAGCAGGTGGCGACTTCCATGGGCTTTTTCTCGATCATTTTGTGGTAGTTGCTACTGATGTGGAGTTTTCCTGAGAGAATGACGCGGGGGGGGGGGGTCTCGAGCCGTCGGCGGCTTAGCGAGCTGCTCGTTGCGCAGATGTCGACAGTGGTGCAGGCGCGCAGCGGTCGGCTGCGAGCGCTCGAATGACACGGCCTTCCAGGCGCCGTGGGGTGTGGTGGTGCAATCAAGCATTTCTCCGGTTACCCGTCGCCCATTGCAGGCTCGGCACGGTTTGTGCAGGGCCCTTCGGGCGGGGAGTGGCGCCCGCGAGCGCCAACTGTTCTGGGGCTGCGGGTTCCCATGGTGCCGAGTTCGACGCCGCGCGAATGGCGAGGCGCGCGGGTTCTCTCTCTCACTCTCCCGTGCGCGGTGGAAGAAGTGCGACGGCGAAGCAGGTCCTGATCAGCACGTTCAAGGGCGGTTGCGTGGCCGGCATTCCAATGGCGTCGGATGCTCTGGATCGCCCCAGTGAAACCCGAGCGCCAATACGTGTCGTATATGGCGTTCCACCAGCACTGGGCGTAATGTGCGCGCGGTACAAGCTGGGGGGCGCACCAGGCAGAACCATTTCCTCTTGCTTTGCTGCGCCTGCGATGCCGCGCGAACGGGCGCACGCTCGCGTGCGCCGCATGGTACCTTGCGGACGGGCCGTGCCAGTGCGGACAAAGAGAGTGCGACAGGGCTGATTGTTCGGCAAGAAAATGGACACACTTAATGCGTGCCTCCTGAGCTCGAACGAGATGGCCAAACTATTTGAGACACGACTTCATTCTGAGGATGAGTACGTCAAACGCATGCGGCGCTATTTCATACTCATTCTTATTATGCGACGCTTCACGCCTACTCAGCAAACGGGTCTTCCCGAAGGCCAGCGCATTTGGCGCCCCAGCCGCCCTTGCAGGGTCGCCTTGCGGCGACGGCAGTCTCGTTCGTTCGCCCTGGACGCGACCCTCGAGGCACCGAAGTCTTGATCGCCTCGCTAAGATAACGCGCTCGATGCGGGCGGCGCGATGATGGCGCCTGGCCCGTCGCGTCGCCACTGGGCGCCGCGGGCGAGACGGTCGTCGAGTTGTGTCGCGGGCGGGGGCACCGAAGGTCTTCCCAAGGGTGTTCACAGTTCGGTCGGTTCGGTTGCTTCGCAGTCGGTTCGGTTCGGTCGGTTCGTTGCCGCGTCGCCGCGCCTTTCTAGGCTGTCTGCGGCCTGCCGACTTCGGTCGACTTCGATTTTTCGCCGTCGGTTCGGTTCGGTCTGGGCCCATCGCCGATCTATCGGCGATGTATCCGATTCCAGCGTGATGGCCCTCGCCCTGTCCGGCTGATTACAGAGCGTACTAAGACCTCCGCCGCGCGCGGCCCCCGGCGCAGTGCAGAGTTTGACGCCACTGCTGGCTGCTTCTTGCTCGATTCCACTGTACAGTTCCTTCTGGCGACCCTTGGACATTTCTCTGCGGACAGGTTTTCCAGTGTTCAAGAAATCGGGCGAACAGAAGTATGCACAGCACCGATCCTGGCCAGGTCCATCCTGAGCCGAGGATCAATGCGTGTATTGTTCCCTAGCTAAGCCAGGGGGGCAGATGCACTGACCCTGGCCCCAGCAGGATGTGCCTGGCCAGGCAGGATTGGTGCACGCATGTGCACAGTTCTCTCCCTTCTACAGAGCTGGGCCATGTCTGCGCGTGCGCGCCTTGTTCCGGCCAGTCTCGCGGGAGATGTCGCCCGCCGAGCGCCCAGCAGGCGCTCCGAACTCTGCGCTCTGCGAGCTGGACCGCCGCCCTGCGGCCCCGCGCCTCCGTCGAGCTGCTGGCCCTGCTTCGGGGGATCGGCCCGGGGGCCTCGAGGGGCTCCCCGCCATGGCCGAGCGTGCTCCGGCTGCTCGTGTCCGGCGGCAGACCGCCCGCGCAGCTGCCCCCTCCTCCTCCTCCTCCTCCTCCTCCTCCTCCTCCTCCTCCTCCTCCCTTCCTCCTCCTCCTCCTCCTCCTCCTCCTCCTCCTCCTCCTCCTCCTCCTCCTCCTCCTCCTCCTCCAGGCCCCCCGGCCCCTCGCCGTGCGCGGATGCGGGGTTCTGGCCCGCCGTGAGTTTGCGGGCGCCGGAGATTCGCCCGCTTGCTCGAGGG